CAAGACCTGGCGGTTTGCACCCCACTTGCTCTCTACAAGTTTCCGGAGAAGGTGGTTTCTCGTAGAGACCTTTTGTCTTGTGCTCTGACAGTGGAATTTATACGTTAGTGACCGGTCTAGTATCACTAAAGACAATAAAGTCCCAGGAATCGATTAAATCTGTTCGGAAATGTATAAAAAAGGTGGTGATCAATTTTTTGCAGGAATCCATAAACTAACAGTACTTATATGACAGAAAGAATTGGTACCAGAGAAGTTGCTAGAGGGAATAATATGTCCATTACTTAAAAAGATGATCAACTGGAGTGTAAGAACTATAGAGGCATTACTCTGTTAGCATCTGCGTATAAAATCTTCGGAAATGTATTGTTTGAAAGACTTAAACATTTTACAAAGGATATTGTTGGTCAATATCAATGTGGATTTACTTCTGGAAAGTCAACTACACATCAAATTCAAGCACATGGCAGATTCTAGAAAAGTCACTAGAATATAACATATATACACACCATCTCGTCGTCGACTTCAAAGCAGTTTATGGCAGTGTAAAAAGAACTGCATTATATAATGCAATGATAGACTTTGAGATCCCACCCAAGTTAGTTAGGTTGATCCAACTAACAATGCAAAACGTAAGATCATGCGTTAGAATTGAAGGAGAAAACTCTACTTTCTTTGACATTAATAATGGTCTAAGACAAGGGGACGCCCTGACGTATCTCCTCTTTAATATTGCCTTGGAAAAGGTAATCAGACAATTAAATATTAGAATTAATGGAACTATTTTTAATAGATCGACGCAAATTCTCGCATTCGCTGACGATATAGTTATAGTGGGCAGAAGTATGAGAGACATGGTGCAGTGTTTTACAAGGCTTGCGGACGCGGCAAGTGAATTAGGACTTGTGATAAAGGAGGAAAAAACCAAATATATGCTTGTTTCTAAAAACCCCCGAAATATCCAGCAGAGAATTCAAATGAACAACCATACCTTTGAGCAAATCAAAGAATTTACATTCTTTCACATATTTTTAGATTCTTTGTACGATTATCTATTGATATTGTATACTTAAACATCTAACTAAAAGCTGATATTTTATGAATTATCCACCTTTTTTCCAAAATTTTGACAGATAAGATTTTGAACATTGTTTCCTCATCTGTAGTTAAATTTACATAATTATTTTTTTCCTAGTGTTGATTTAATAATTTTTGTTAATGGACATTTCAATTTCTGGCTTCGATTTACTTTATACAAGGTGTTTTTAACTATTAAAAATTTAAAAATAAATAAAATCAAGTATTAATCGTGAATTTATTTGCTTTTTTACAATTACTTTTAACAATTATATAACATTGGATTAAAAGTAGATGAATACCTTGTATACTTGTATCTTGTTAGTAGTACCTATTGTTTTTGAATGACTGTCATTTTATCTAAAACCCCTTGTATTTTGTTACTGTGATGTCTGTCTCGGATTAGACCAATCAAGCTAGTAAAAAAAGCCTTTTAATCTCACAACTGTATACACGGGTTTGACAGTTAAAATGTGTTGTATGAGATACTACAAAAAAGCTCTCATCTAGTGGTTCATAAATTTTTTGAGAAGAAATAACGTGGGGAGATATGTCGTGAAATGCAAATTTGAGATTGCCCATGTCTCTATTTATCAACTCTCTATTAACATCTTTATCAACGTCTGTTTTGCCTTGCAATTCTTAGAAGGCACAGATTAATGCAAAAATCTGAATTTGGTTTCGGATATTAGTTTACGGTTTATAAGCAAGTTTTAAAAGTGCTATTTATTATTAAATCATTTTGAGTACATAAATGTAATTTTGTAAGTCCCGGAATGTCGAGATCCATTAGACAAATAATCTGGACCATCCTGAGAAATTAGCTAATTTTTCAAAAAATAATATAAAATTAAATTTCGCAAAAAATATTGAATCAATCTGGCCCATATTTTTTACAAAATTCAAACACGATAAGACCTTTAAGTTTAGGTACATTCAAACAAATTATAATAAAACGTTTTGGTACAAAAACAGCGATTTCGTTGTTGATTTTTCAATAACTTTTTTGTTTATACATAATCCGGTTTTAATTTAGCATACCCCATTTTGTGTACCTGTTTCTTCTGAAAAAGTTATCTGTTGACGTCAAATGTCTAAATAGATTTTTTAAGTTATCAGCAAAATATCGAGTATGATGTTTTGATTGTTTATTTAAATATATTTCCACTAAAAAATTGATGAATCCCTAAAAGAGAGCCTTATTGTACTATATCTTACTACAAACTTCAACTGTCAAACCCGTCTATACTTGTAGAAATCTAACTTAATTGGCCTAGATATGTAGATATCATATATCATATTTTAACAATCACATTTTCGACGTTTTGCATCAAGATGGCTCATCCAACACTTCAACAGCATGGGGATGGAATACCTGTGTATAACTCAAAGCATTTTTGAGAATAATATTTTAAAGGTTAGGTGCAAATTAAGAATTAGCCTTAAACTATGGAGTTTAAATATATTTTACAGCAATAAGCCGTTATATTATAAAATTTGTTTTGAAGGATTTCTCTAGGTAAAGTCTAATCGAGATTCGACTTGGTACTTAAAGATCATGACAAAAATTGTATTAGAATTTGTAGATACATGAATAGGTCAGACACATTTATCACTGTAACTCAGTTTGAGATGCTCCTCTTACTTTATTATATTTACCCAGAACAAGTTGTCTCTTAATATTGTTCTGAAGCTATTTTCTTGTGGCATTTTAAATTAATTACTATTTAACTGGGAATAAGCCACAATTAAAGATAAAAATACGTTTATTGACGTTTCAATTTCCACTTAATAAGTTGTCTCTTACAATTTTATTTTCCATGATTTTTACACATAGAGTTCTAACAATGTTTATACAAGGTAAGTCTTATGACTAGGAAATACAACGTTATTCCAGTCTTTGTTTTAGAAATTTGTTTACGTTTAAATACAAATTCAAACTTACGAGACCATAAGTGTATGTTTTACCGTTTTTCGGGAGTAGGTTTCGTATTCTAATGTCATCATCATCATCATCATTCAGCCCATACTCGTCCACTGCTGAACATAGGCCTCCCGTAGTTCACCCCACAAATTTCTGTCCTGAGCCGCCTGCATCCAATTTTGATGTGTCCGTTTCAGGTCATCCGTCCATCTTGTTGGTGGTCGTCCTCTATTCCTAAAGGCATCTTGTCTGGGTCTCCACTCAAGAATGCGTTTTGTCCATCTGCCGTCCTTCGTTCTCGCGACATGCCCTGCCCAGTTCCATTTTAAGGTTGATATTCTTTTGATTGCGTCGGTTACTCCAGATCTACGGCGCAATTCTGTGTTGGGTATTCGGTCTCTCATGGACCGTTCCATTGCCCTCTGTGTTGTTCGAATTTTGTTTGCGGACGTCTTAGTAAGTGTTAGCGTCTCCGCACCATAGGTTAGAACCGGCAGCACACATTGATCGAAGACTTTTCTCTTCAAGCAGATGGGAAGAGCTGATTGGAAAACATCTCTTAGCTTTCCATAAGCTGCCCATGTCAACCCTATTCTACGTATTAGTTCATTGGTCTGGTTATCTCTACTTAAGCGAATTTCGTGTCCCAGATATTTGTATGCTGATGTTTGTTCTATACTTGTTCCAGCTATGTTGATGTTCTCACTCAGAACAAGGTTTGTCATCACTTGTGTGTCTAATGTCATAGAATTCAATAAAAACAATTTCTTACTCATTGTTTTCTGTTCTTGGCACTAGCCGTAATAATGAGCAAATTAAATCTTTCAGAAAGAAAAGTTTTCTTTAGCTGTGACCTCCAAATTTGTTTAATACCAATCTATTTTCGAGATTTAACTAACAGTCTGAATATGAACAGTGATATACACGACAGTGTTGGTGTTTCATTTAATGTTGCTTTAATTCCTCCAATATTGTTCTATCCACCATCCTCCATATTCTGTAGATTTTACCCCGTGTGACTTCCTCTTTTTGTTTCCAAACTTGAAAAATGCACTCGCCGGCCAGAAATTTAAATCGAAACAGGAGGTCATCGCCGCCACAAAAGCCTACTTTGCAGACCTTGAGGTCTGCAAAGACTCCAAAACGTATTTTTCAGACGCGTTAGAGAAGTTGAATCAACATCGCCGAGTCAAGTATATCGAGCTAAAAGTCGACTATGTTGAGAAATAAATCTCCACTTTTTCAAAATTTTCGTTTTTCTTTTGTAGGCTAAGAACTTATCGAACTAGTATATGGCTGAAAAAGCGTGGCAGATGCATGAATCAGAGAAACTTATAAAATTCGACTATATTTATGGTTAATCCACTGTACTGGGGGTGATAAAAGGAGACATACTTAGATGGAGGCAGATACAAAGGGTCAGAATGTGAAGAAAAATATCAGAATTGCTAGAAGACATTGAAAACGACATTAATATTTGACTTTTTGTCTAAATTTATTATGTATTATGTCTCCAGTTTACAAGTATTCTAATTCCAATATATTCTGTTTCTATAAATACTCGTTTATGTTTGTCAATCCATATATTTACACAACTTATGTTGTATAATGCATCAATTTGTTCCTACCTTTCTTTACTTCTTTGATGTAGAAAGGTCCAATTAGTTATTTTTCTCGTCTCAGATATGTGACAGAATAAATTCCAGTTGTCATTTGATCAAATTTACAACGTTTTCTTCACTAATTTTTATTTTATAAGGAAATAGGTTTTATTTTACTTTATTGACAACCATTATTATAAAATAGCTTTCTATTATAGTTATATGTATAGAATATAATATGGTATCTGAGTTTTCTTAATATGGAACAATAGAAATGCATACACATAATAAATAAACTCCATGGTTTAACGTAATTCCTTATTTGTGTACATTTAATATTTTTGGCGGTTTAAGAAATTAAGTTATATTCCATATGTTAATTATTAATCTATTTACAGCCATGTCCCAAATGGACGAATGTCAGTCGACGCCAACTTTGTTAGAATCTGGAGTACAACCACAAGTTAGCTTGACATCGTTGGGGATTATAGTGGGGCATGAGTTACTGGAGTCCTGCACACGACTTTCGGTGTCTTTAGAGCAAAATGGACTGTTTCAGGTAATTTTCGAAAGACTTGCTTGGGTAACACACTGTTAGAGCTAGATAAATACACCACGTATTAATTGTATACTCTATAATTCAAGAGCGAATAAAGTATGTCAATATTTAAAAAAAAAACAGATTATACCCAAGACACAGTAAGATGAAAATCCTAAATCTTATAGTTTTTTTAGTATAAAAGTATAAAAAGTACACTTTCATTTCTTTCCCGATTGTTGTCGGTCCTGGGCAGCTATTTCCCATTGCTGTATTCCCATTTGCGTAGATCACTGGCTACTGCGTCCTTCCATCTGTTTCGTGGGCGACCAACTGACCTTCTGCCATCGGGTCTTTCCCAGAATGTGGCATTCAGGAGTCTTTCGTCACTCGATCTTATTACGTGGCCCGCCCATCTTTTTCGGTTTGCTTTAATGTAGCGTATTATATTTTCATCTCCATACACTGTCTGGAGGTCATCATTGTGTCTTCTTCTCCATTCTGCTGTTGTCTCTTCTCTACAAGGCCCATAGATAGTCCGCAGTATCTTTCTTTCCAGTACCAGTAATTTTGTATTGAGAGTATTTTTGATTTAAGTACGGTCTTTAATGAGTAATATGCCCTGTTTCCTACAATGATCCTGGCTGCCACGTCCTTTTCATAGTTATTTTCAGATGTTATAATCGCTCCCAGGTACTTGAATTCTTTGACGACTTCAAAGTTGTATTCGTTGATTGTTATGTTTTGTCTAACCTTTGGCCTTGGGTTCTTCGTAACCACCATGTACTTGGTCTTGTCTTCGTTGACCTTCAGACCAACTTCGTTGGCTCCGTTTTCGAATAGGGTGAAAACTTCTTTTGCATCTCTGGTGGGTTGTGCAATTGTGTCCACGTCATCCGCAAACGCCAATAGTATTTTTGACCCTTGGGCGGCAAATCTGTTTGTCAGTTGTGGTTGAGCTTTGAGAATTTTTATTTCTTATTTTTTTTTATTATTTCATTCATAATCAAGTTAAAGAATAGACGACTCAGGAAATCTCCCTGTCTTATCTCATTCCCAGCTTCAATAGGGTCAGTTAGTTTTCTCCTTTTATTGTATTGTTTTGGTAGATATTTTCGATCGTTTGGAATATTCCTAAAGGTATCTCTCTTACGTACAATAAGCGGATAACTTCATTTAATTTGGCCTGGTCAAATACCTTCGTAAGGGCCACGAAATATAATATGCTGGTTTTTTGTATTCTAATGATTTTTCTTGTACTTGCCTCATTATAAATATATCGTCGGTGCATGATCTTTCCTACCTAAAACCTTTTTCTTCTGCTAGTGTTATAGTTCCATTCAATTTATTTGTTTGATTTTTATATACTTTGGTTGTTAATTTTAGTTTTGTGTTTAATAAATGAATTCCTCTGTAATTTTTCAGGTCCGATTTGTCTCCCTTTCTGAAGAGAGGTATTAGGATGCTGGATCTCCATTCTTGAGGAATTTGTTTTATTATTTTTTGGATTAGTTTTCATATCTGTTTGCTCAGATCTGGTCCTCCGTACTTTAGGAGTTCATTCAGTATTCTGTTCCCTCCTAGTGATTTTGTTTTTTAATGTCCTTAATGCTTCCCTTAGCTCTTCCTCCTCAATATTTATTTCTACGTTCGCCGTCACCTCTGGTGTTAGTGATTCATTATCGTCAACTTTAGTAATTAGGGAACGAAAGTGGGCTGCCTTTCTACCTTTCTTTTCTTTGTCCTTCTCCATATATCTGTTTGTGTTCCGTAGAAGTTCCGTTGTGTTCCATCTGTTTTGAGAAGCTCTGTCAGTTGTTTCCTTTTTATTTGTCTGACTAAAGTATTCGTTTGATTTCTCATTCGTTTATAGTGATTGTATGCCTGTTATGTTCTGTATTGTAAAAAGGCTTTCTTCTCTTCTTCACATTTTGTCTTCACTTCCTGTGAAAAGAAAAAAACTTCCTCTCCACTAAAGAGGATATGTACCATGGACGTATAAATTTATACGTCCATGATATGTACCAATTGGATTGTAACAGTTCAAGATAGATCTGAATGGAAGTTTCTAGAGGAGACCTATGTTCAGCAGTGGACGACTATGGATTGATAATATTTTAATTTGGTACAAACTATATACCATAGTGGGCGTTGAATTTTTGATTAACGTTTAAAACAAACTATTATTTTTGTTTTGAATATCTTATCATTTTATACCTAATTTTACTTCCTGATCCTCCGTCGCAGTTGGTTGGTATCTTTGATCAGGCTAACACGTGGACACCGTTTCGAATAGCGGTCAGCGTGTTCCTATTTGATTAAATCTAAAATCATCGATTTTATATCACTTCCATTTTAACTTTTAAAATATTTAAAATGTAATCCAAAGGTTTTTACAACTTTTAAAGTATCAAAATATGAACCTTTTTATTCATTATGTTAAAGCGGGAATACTACTTTCTGGTTTACACTGATGATGGTCGAAGAAGACCAAAAACGTTTTGATGAAAATTGTAATTGTTTTCGATATTTTCTTTGTTCTAGCAATTTTATAAATATACCATTTACACTACAAGTGTGTACTTCATTATTGGAAGTTTTTTTATGATAGAATTTAAGGTTGTCATTTTACTGTGCCAGTAATTTCACAATGCTTTTATCTCTGTACTTTATAACATTAAGTATTTGTAATTGCTGTTAACAACTATCTTGTAGTTGCCACTTCGTTATTATATTTGGGTATATGAAAAATATAAATTAGTAATTCTGCTGTAATCAGAAAGTTAAAAATAAACACACTGATTTTTCATTTTTTTAAATTAATTGCTATAAAACAGCTTAATATTACAAATGATTTTTTCGGTGTTTACAGTAAAGCTATTTTTGCTTTATATTACTACCACTAATTTTATAGTAACAAAATTTAAAAACAAGCAACTATAGAGTCTTTGATATGTTTTCATATGCCCTTTCTCGCTTTTAGAATAACGCTTCTCGTTCTTTGAGTGCAAGTCAGTCTTCCAGACTTAGTCAGAACTATTCTGGATTAAAAATGACTTTAGACGAACTTAAGGCTGTCAATAAGTATGCAGAAAGTACAAGAAGTTTAAGCTATTTATTACAAGTAAGTAGATACACGATTTGGAATAAAAGATATTAGGATAAGGCTAGCTTGTAAATATTATTTTCAATAAAATTCCACCGTATTACAGTTTTGTATATCGCCTTTATCATTTTGAATGCAAATAGGTCTACTATTCTGTACCATATTTCAGTTTTTCAGAAGGTTACGCCATTGTGATCTCTGTTAATCTGAGATGAGAACAAGTCCTCCTTCAGCTCCTGTCTTTTTAAGAATTGCTTTTTAACTGTTGTGATGAACACCTAATATAACTATATCATGTACAAAACCGATATTATTAATTCGTATTATATCTATTTTAATACTTTTTTGGGTATGTTCAGTAAATCATTGTAATTCATCGTCTTGGTTAAGTGCCGACTGTTTTATTAATCTCTGTCACTCCCCTACTGCTATTGCTAAATTAATCATATATTTTTGTTATGTACCCACTGTTCTTGTAATATATAAGAAATCTCTCATTGGCATGCAAATCTTTTAGTATGCTATCTCTCCATCTGTGTCTAAGTTTGCATATGGGTCTCCTACCTATCGGATTTTCCTCTTATATCTATTGGATGAGCTGTTCTTCATTGGGTTTACGCACATATCCTGCCCACCTCAGTCTCAGGGCTTTTATCTCGTTGATGTTAATCAACCCAGTCTCTGGGTTGATTATATAAGGTTTCCAGTTCTTCATTTGTCCTACAATTGTTCATTTTGTTTTGTTATGGTTGAGGTTTCTTATCCAAATGTTACAACTGATCCAATCACTATTCCGTATATTTAGATCTTCAATGATCTCGACAACATATTTGACTCCAGTATATCTTGTACTGCATAGAAGTCCCTTTTACCTCTCCCTACTCGTGTCCGTATTTCTGTTTATGTCGTTGCCGTGAGCTATAGTGGCACCTAAAAACTGGAATTCTTTGACACTTTCGAAATCGTATCTGTACATAGTTATATTTTGCCCTCTCTGTTATATCTCTACTCTCTGTGTGGTTGATGTGCATATATTTGGTTTTTTCTTCATTAATGTTTAGAGTCCTACTTTTTGCTTCCTCTTCTATATTAATTAACATTTCCTGTGTTTTGGAGGTCCACTTCCTACTATGTTGAAGTCGTCGGTATGCGCCAAAGTCATTTCCCTAACCAGAAAATACTTTCTGCTATATGTTAGCTCCTTTGATGGATCTATATCTAACACTTCATATGTTGTGTAATGATGATAGCCCATCACCGTGTTTTAACCATCGAGCAAAAAGACAATAGAGGGAATGTAAAGGTAGTGGGGGCAAACATATTGTTAGACAGGAAGTGCGATCTTTAGAGGCCACATTAAACAAGGAAAGAGAGTCTCTCTCCTTGTTTGACATCAAATTTAGTTGGGTTATGTTATTGTTTGTCCCAAATGTCACATGAAATCTTATTTATATTGAAGTTTTTTAACAATTGTGTCGCATTTTAGACTCTTATCATTAATAATTAATTAAAACTTTCTCGTCTAAGACACATTCTGAAAAATATTATATAGCTACTGGTGATAAGTGTCGGAAAATTTAAATTTCGCGCATTCGCATTTCCGGATATGTCCGCCATCAGAGGCCACTTTTTGGTCTCCTTTTCATAAGGATTAGATTCCCTCTTTTGTCTTATTGCTCGATGGTTTTAACCCAGTGGTAATAGAGAGTATGTCTGGTATGTTTTCTCATTATGACCTTAGCTATTGAATTTTCAATACATATTTTTGTTAAATTAATAATCTTACTAGGTACCCCTAGTAATGTCCACCCACACATACTCTTGTCGAAAATCTATAAAGAACTGGTATACTTTTTTATTGTCAAAATCTGTTCTATTGTTGATTTTCCCGATTGAAAAGCCGCCCTGTTAGTCCCCGAGGTTATTTTCTGCATATGATGTTATTCTACTTCTCAATATATTTGATAGTATCTTATATGTTATATTTAGTAGCCTTGTACGTTATATAATAAATCACATGACACATATTTCTAAAAATGCGATCATTCATACAATTTTTTTTATTACTTTAGGTGCACGAGAGACAAACCGAAAGAATGAAAACAAGATCTCAATGGTTTTTGGGCCCATCCGTCGACTGCGCCAGTTGTCGCAACTCTTTGGATTTTCCATTGAACGAGATGGATGTTTCCGCTTTAACTAATGCATTTTTACGAAAATCTTCGTCGGGGACCATAGGTAAAAGATATGACAATCTTAGTAAGTAGTTACAGTATATCTAAGCTACATATGTACTACTAAAACTTAATATCTATTCACAACAAATAATATTTGGAATATATTAACAGTTTTGCATTTGATAGATCCAAAAAGTCTAAAATTATACAAAACCTTAATAATAATTGGTTTTAAAAGATTCTTATCTTCATTAATATATTCTTTTATCATCATCAGTTAGCGATACAGCCCTTCGTGAGCCTTGACCTGCCTCAAAACATTCTTCAATCCTTCCCTATCTTCCAAATCCCGTCCACTGTCTTCTAAATTCATGTCAATCTCCCTTAAATCTTCCCGCATGCACAAGGGAACATTTTAAAACATGATTTTTGCTTGACTGTACTAAACATTTTTTATAGCAACTAATTCTATACCTATGAGTGCTTATGCTGAAATGTTTGCTTGTGTTTGTCTTATGTTTTTGTTAAGTATAATAAAAAAAATTATTTATGGAGTCATTTCAGGAAACCAGACAAATAACAATGTCTCTTCCTAAAAATGCTCATTGCTTCTTCGCTATTCATTTTAACGTATTTAGTGCTGTTATTTCCACAAACTGAAAGATATCATCAACGATAACCTCAACAAGGTTACCAAACGTTTCCTTCAATAAATTAATTGTGGCACAAGCCGTGTAACATGTTGCGCCGTCTTATTGAAAGGCTCCTACACATCATGGTTGTTCAAGTGAGGAATGAAAAAGGCAGTAACTATGACGGTCACCATTGACTGTAATGTTCTGACCAGTATCGTTTTTGAAGAAGTACGATTCAATGGTTCCACCAGACCATAAAGCACACCAAACAGTCAGTTTTTCTGGATGTAATGCTTTCTCAACATATATTTGATTGGCAGTTTTGTTTGTTGACGTAGTCATTCAACCAAAAGTGAGCTTCATCGCTAAACAAAATTCGCTCATGAAAATCGGAATCAATGGCAATCTCGTTTAAGACCCACTCACTGAATCTACGCCTTGCTAGGTGATGATGTACCTTTAATTCTTGCATGAGTTGGATTTTGTAAGCACGTAAAGCAAGATCTTTCCCCAAAATCTTCCATAAAGTGGATGGACACGTATCCAACTGCTGTGCACGATGGCAGATATACTGATTCGGATCTTTCTGTATGCTACGCTCTACAGCAGAAACAACTTCTTCTATACGCACTGTACGACGTGTCTGTGGATGCATATTATCAGTTAGAGTAAACGTGGTGCAAAAACGTTCCATAGTTAATCGAACAACTACTTGCTCTGATGGACCATAAAATGGACGTAGTGCGACCATAAAATGCACACGTAGTGCGTACGTATTTCGAACAGAATCACAATTTTTAACATAAGTTTGTACAATCTGGAAGCGCTGTTCAGGCGTTAAGTCTATTCATGTTGAAATGCCAAACCCAACATAACATAAAACACTTGACAGCTGTCAAAATGGCCGACAGTTAAAAAAGTGTTACCAACTTACATTTCTATACCTCTAAAAAAACACCGTTTAGATATATAAGCATGTAAACTAATTTAGTTTCTTTTTTTCAGTCGGTATTGCCGGTTTATCGCTAAGTGCAGAATCTGTCCAAAAGAGACCAAGTGTCAAACGAGCAAATTCCAGAGACAAAAGGCTTCTTCATAGAACGACGAGTAGACGAAATAAAGAAAATAATCCTCGTCCTAATAACTAAATAGTTTCGACTAAATTTTTTATAATTCCATTTTAAATTAATGTAATAATTGGTATATTTGTGGTTTATGGGATGGCATAGAATTTTAAGACTTTTGTATGTAATATATTTATATTAAATATTAAATGGAACATGTCTGAATTTTATAATCTGGTAATATTTAACTACCAGTTAACTATCTGTGATATAGTTTTTAAGAAATTGATGTATTATTTATAATATATAACTTAAAATACCAGTGTGTTCAATGTCTATTTTCCTTGTTTCAAGGTTCTTTTAATTATAAAATAAAATGGCATTTATTTATTTGTGTGTTATTTTCTTTTCTATTAAAATAAAAAACCAGATCCAACTTTTAATGTTATATAAATATTTCATCCTAAAACACCGACCAAAAAAATTAAAACGATATCAGATACATTCATTTACATCATTGTAACAGTCAATAAGAAAAAATAATGACCCTAGAAGTAAAGGGGTATAAGTGACATTTTTGTAAATATTGAGAAAACTGCATCGCTGAACTGGAAATCTTTAATTCTATTTGGAGGTAAAGAGATCTAAGCGATAACTCTAACAAGTGCTGCTTTCTAGCGACAAATTACTTAGCCTCCAAGCCAACTATGAGTACGACTTGGAAGAGAAGAGATACAAGTGCACTTGAACGCATGTTCCAAGGTGTCAGACTGTTAGTTAAGTTTGTTGTCATTTTGAATGGGTAGTGGTATATCTCCTAGGTAATACTTTACTGTAAACTGCTGTTTTTTACGTTATTATAAACTACAGCGTTTTTAAGAAGAGTTCGTTTTGTTTCTTTGCGGAATACGGAGTTGGTGATGGAGGATTTACCTGCTAATGCCTTTCCACCACCAAAGCAGACTGACAAAAAATTTTTGGAAAAAACAGGACTAAAAAAGCAAGAAATTCAGGTGAAGCTTACATGGACAAAAAGCGCAATACTCATGAAACTAGAAAGTTACAAAAACTTGAAAATTATCACTGTTGGAATAAATATACCAACATTATTTTACAAGAACAAATACTTTCATTTTTTAAAGAGTATTGAGCACTGGAATCTCCCAAACAGCTTTTTCAAATCGATCCATACAGACTAAGCATGTAAAAATAAAAGACTAAATGCAGTTAGCAACAAACAGGTGTCATGTGTGTTTATATTTTGGAAAGTTTTAGAGTGTGTAAAGTTTATAATGAAAACTCTTGATGTCTCCAACAAACGTTTACAAAATGTAGTTAAAAGCAAAAAGTCTCCTTAGTCGTGTCATAAATAGTCAAAAGAGCAAAGAAATCACCCCTTAACAAAATAAAAACAGCAATTGAAATCATAAAAGAGCATATTAATAAGTTTCCTAGGTACACAAGCCACTACGGTAGAAATAAGACTCTGAATAGGAGGTATCTTCCTCAGGGGTGTAATTTGAAAATAACGTACAGACTATTGTGATTTATGTAATGAGGAAAAACAGGGAGAACACATTTGTCCGTATTTTTTTTGTGTAAGAGTTACTAAACTCTCGTTTCAGTCTTTATTAAATCCATCTATTAAATTAAGCTGTTAAAGCTCTGTTAGTATAGGAATTACTGAATACCCTCTTGAATACATTATATAAAATACTCACAAAACCATAATTAACCCATGTCTGAGTCCATAGTCTGAAAAAAATATGGTGAACCTCAATTCATTTTCACAATTTTTAATTTCAAATTTTTTTTTAACGATTTCTGGATTGAAAATTGAAACGTCGAAACAAATTAATAAAATGTAATTATTATTACAATTGATCGTAGTTTAATCCCATCAAAAACATATCTAATATAACCCTTAGTTATTTAAATAGAGTCCACCTAATAAACATTAGAGGGAAGTAAAATGAAAAGAACAAATACTTAACAAGAATTAAATATATTTTGTAAAACTGCCGTGGCAAATATAAAATTGCACATCTTTTTACATACTAATCTCAATAAAAACTGAAAATGACCATTTGTCATGAATCGTAACCACCTCTCGGCGATGCTACCGGAGACGGTGGAGGCGGAAGTGGACTGAAGTAAGTCGACGAGCGCGAACTCGGCGAAGGCGGACAACTTTCTTGATGGCACACTGATCTAGGAGTAGGCGGAGGAGGAAAGGGACCTGCATCGTATCTACTTCTTGTCGGATAATTGTAGTCACTTTCGTCGTTGATATCTGTAGAGCAAGGTGTTGGCGGCGGAGGCTGGTTTATCGAACGGTAATGACGATAAGGACGGTACCGGGAGGGACTACTTGCTGTAAAAATAAGTACCAAATTTAGTTAATCAAAAATATAATTATATTATATTTGTATACATAATCTAATATTATAAGAACATCCGGAGACAAGGTCTGTATATATTCATACAAAGTGTTAATTTTAGGAGTTGCATAACCCGAATCAATGACAACGTTGCTTAACTCGTTCAGATGATAGCGGGGATACGTTTGTTTACATTTTAGGCTGACTTTTTAGCTGATAAACATTTATAATAACTTTGATATTTTTTATGCCACACACTTATAAGTAGGCTAAATGAAGAGCTAGTGAAAAAACACACTTTCCAAGAAAAAACAACATTTTATGATCAATAACAAGAAAACAACAAGCCGAGATATTGCAAGGGACAGTTCTTCCCTCCACTTTTACATAGCTGTATCTTACGAGCACCATGACTTTAACGGGTGATAACTTTACTCCTTCATTGTATATACCATCTATATGTTGTCTTAATATTGTTCTGAAGCTATTTTGTTGTGGCATTTTAAAGTAATTACTATTTAAATGGGAATAAGCCACAATTAAAGGTTAAAGTAAGTTTACTGACGTTGCAATTTCCACTTCAGAAATCGTTCTCAAAATACAAACATTAGTGTCATGGACAAACTGGTTCTATGTAGAATATTTTTCAACCTTCTGCTTGAATATGCGTGACGTAACTTCAAGCCCTGTGGTATTAAGTTGTCTCTACATCTTCGTAAAAATTTGATTAAATTTTTGACAATGTGCCAGTTTCTTATAAAGAATTTCCAATCTCCGAAAATTTTGAATAATGCTGGGCCCATAACGGTTTCTTAATATTGTTCTGAAGCTATTTTCTTGTGGTATTTTAAAGTACTTATTCCCATTTAAATAGTAATTATGCTTGGCCTTTTTCAAACTGTTTTTTAATAAAAAATTTAATAAAATGTTTTAGAACTTTTCTTTGAACCATTTTTCGTTAAATGTATAACGTTAAAACAAACGATTTATAGACAAAAACTATTTGTTTAATTTTTTATAATTGTTTAATAACAAACAAAGCAAAATTACTTGTACGTCTTCAGGAATTTGTCATTAGCTACACGTTAAATATTTTTTAGAACCTGCAAATATCTGTATAAGAATTTTACACGAAATGTACAGTTCCCGCTCACAGCTAAGTAGAAATAGTGATAGAAGGCATATATCCAGATGTGGACGGAAAATACAGGATAGAGGGGGACGAGAATATTTATTTTGTTCATATTGATTAATATAATTTTCATATTGGCTCTTACGACTTCGTATAAATATTTTATTCTTATAATAAAACAAAATAATTACATTTGTGACTTAATACTTTACCTCTCGTTGAAGCTGCAGTAGTGGCAGGACTAGGTGGGGGATTGAGCGTTTCACACGGGTATCCCGTAACACTGGAACCGTTGGTATTTGAACTACTGGAAGTACCAGTAACATGGCGTCGATCAAATGAAGATGGACAACCACTATCGTTTAGCATTGACATTCTTACAATGTCCGGTATTCCTAAAAATTTACTTACTTTTAACATATAATGGTTTAAAAAATTAAGAAAATAGCTGATACATGAGGCATTATTTGTAAACTTAAAACAGTAATATTTCTTGGGTGATCTTTTTTTCTTCAATATTTTGTTGAAATTATAGATTTAGATAGGTTAAAGAAGTCAATAGCTAAAACTAGTAATTGTTCATGATGATGTTAGTAGAGTATGCTATATTCTTCTTCTCCAGTACCTTATCCGGTCCGGATGTTCACTATGTATCACCAAAATTATCCTGGTTTTGTTGACCACTCTTCAAAACAGTTTGGAGAAGGTAATTCCAAACCATTCTCGGAGACTTCTACGAAGGCGTCCCGGTCTCCTTTTGCCAAATACGTTACCTATGACGAGTTAAAAAAATTGATATCTTTCTTCGTTGCGCATTACGTGGCCGAAGTACTCAAGCTTACGTTGTTTCACTAAATGAAGCACTTCTTTTCTCGTGAACTGTAGGCCTTTAACGTTGGTGACATGGTCTACATAAGATATCTTCTATATCCTCCTGTAGATCTACATCTCGAACGCTTCGAATCTTTTTTCAGTGGCTTGCATCAGTGCCCAGGCTTCGACACTGTATTGTAGTACCAGAAGAACATAGCACCTCAATATCAGCATCTTGGTCTACAAACTCAGGTCACTACAGCACAGTAAGGAGCTCGTCTTGACTTGGTAAATTTGGACCGTGGATGTAAATGGTTCCATCGGGAGTAAAGTGTAGTTCTGAGGTAGCTTAATCTCTCTCGATATATCTTTCTCTATCTCTAGGCCGTACTTTATGCTTGCAGCTCTCGGGCAGTCCAGTAAGATATGGAGAGGTCCTTAGGCGTACGTGTTTATAGACGTAGAGTTTATTACATTAATTTTTTCTTCTTCTTGTAAAGCCAAATCCTTTGCCTTCCTGGTCCTCGTTTTCCTTCTACTTTTCCTTGTAGAATTAATTGCAGTAAACATTTTTTTTTTAAAGAATTTTTAATGAGATTTTGGAGTGACATACCGAAGATCCTTTTGCTCCGACAGGCTTTCCTAATCTTCACCAATTTTTAAAGTAACCAACATAATTCCCAGAAAGGCTTAGAGTCGTTACTATACACTCATGTACATGAGCTAATAGCCAATATTAATTATCACTTGAAAGTAAAAAACTATTCCATAAACTTTATCAACAAAATAAATTGCATCAATTAAAACAATAAAACAAAGATATAAATGTAATTCTATTTTAAAAGAACTATTTTTATTCTTTACCTTTACGATATTTCAAATTTCCAACGCCATTGGGATGCATCGGATTTAAAGATTCCATCTGGTCGTTGACTTCTTCGTCCCGTGGCATAAGCTTCTTCCGGAAAAATAAAACGGAAACCAACACAAAAACAATCAAACAAGCTGAAAAAGATAATATTATGGTTTGAGCTGCCGGTTTTACTGATATTCTACAGTCTTTTTC